TAAAAATTATTTTTATATAAGTTAAAATAAATTTTTTTATATATTTGCTTTATATACCGTAAAATCACTTTTAAAATAATAGTTTAGTTTTTACCTAAATATCTTTTTACCTTGTTTGGGTTAACGTTAACAAAAATTATTTTTATCACAACTTACTTGCGCATGCTAATATGGATAAAAATCAATTAGTATAATACTACCTCCGATCTTTGATAAAATTAGTAAAGTTGATGATTTATAATAAATGTGTTTTGGCTTTCCTAAATTATCATCTCTAATCATATATATTAGAGCTTTCTTGGTAAAGACTCCTTATAATCAATAAGGATATTTTAGAAAAAGCATTATAAATTTGAAATTCAAAAATGGATGGGATATCATATTCAGGCCAAATCCAATATCCAACAAGACTCTTATATTAACGATTGAAAGTAGCAAAACTTATTTATGAACATACTTCTATTTTTTTAAAAAAAAGTCAGCTCGATACAAATTTATTTGAATAATATATTGAAAAATAAGTTGGAGAATGTTTAAATCTTAAAAAAAAGTCAAAAATAAAAACCAAAAATCAAGAAAATTTGTTTTTTAGATTAAAAAAAAAAGTTAGTTGGCTCCAGATCAGTTATGCGTGCGTGAGCGCGCGCGCCAAACATTATTTTTTTAATCTAATTTTAAATTAAAATTATTTTTCACGCTTATAAGTCAACTTGAAATGGGGTTAGTGTAATAAGCAATCAAGTGTTGAAGGGGGCAAGAACATTTGGATGGACAAAAGTCTTCCACTACATTACGGGTCTCACTACTAACTTTTAAGATAATGCTGTTATGCTAACGCGAGAGTTATTATATCCGAAGACTAAAATCTGGAGTTAGTTTAACTTCTTCGGAAGTGCTTTCGCTCAATGATTGTCAAAACTAATCCATTGCTCCATGAATAATTGCATTATGTGAGAAATTTATATGCTTACAATCATGGTTTTTTTTATCAGTTCGATCTTGAACATTTTGTACAGAGTGTATTTAAATAAAGGTAAAAAATTATAGAAATATAAAATCAATTAGTTATTTATAAGAAACAGCGAATTACTAATTAAATAGATTACTTAATTTAATTATTTATTATATATTAACTGTTAAAAATACCGCACAATATAGATATGAAATAAAATTAGGAGAAAATAGCGTAATTAAACAAAAGTCATATAGAAGTGTGACATAAAAATCTTAGTTACTAATCAAATAGCATGACACGTAAATACTATAATGTTAGGATGTAAATAAGATGCATCACTAATTATACTTAAGGTAAAAAAAAATCAATAATTATTTCTTTTTTTTACCACGAACTTCTCTATAACTCTTCTCAATAGTGATTCATCGAACCAATTGATATTTGCTAATTTTAGAATATTGAAAAGATGGGATCAATAGGAGAATTTTCGACTAATTATAAGCACTGGTTGACTTATTTGAGAAATTAAAGAAAAAAATTAAATAGTTATTTATAATAAATAAGTATTGTATTTCCTAAAATATCTTATTAATCAAGTGTATTTGTTAAATTATTCTCGTTATAAGGATTACTTTGAAAAAAATATACATAAATATAAAAAATAAAGTGGATTAAAGTCTTATATTTAGAATTAAAATAAAAGTCAAATAAGATTTTATATTAAAATCGGAGGTAGTATATAGGAAGATGAAGTAAAATGAAAAACGGGGGCAGCGAACGAAATGACTGGATTGGAATAAAAGCTGGAAAAAAAGAAGGAGGGGAACAGTAATAATAATTAAAGGAAAATTGTAATTAGATCTCATCTAAAAGAATTAAATACAAAAAAATCTCTTAAAATTACGAAATTATTCTGAAGTCCCAAATAACTTTTTTGTAATAAATTTTATTTGTTTAATTACCAAATCACCCTTTTTTTAAGTTTGTATTGATAACTGAAGGAGCAGTGGTTGACAACTTAGAATACAATGATTGACAACTATCACGACTGGTTTGACAACATATTTTCTTAGCATATCACAAAATATAACGCATGAATTGTCAAACAAGTCGCGATAGTTGTCAATCTTTACATCTTAAGTTGTCAACCACTGCTCTTTTAAGTGTTAATACAAACTTAAAAAAAAGAAGGGTGATTTGATAATTAAAAAATAAAATTTATTATAAAAAAAATCTCTTGGGACTTCAGAATAATTTTATAATTTCAAGAGATTTTTTATATTTAATTTCTTAAATAGGATCTAATGCAATTCTCTCGTAATTAAAGCGAAAAGCGAAAAGGGAAGGGCAGTGAACAGGGCGTCAGGAGAAGGAAGGCGCAGAAGTGGCTGAGCATGGACTGAAGCTGATGCCCAATGGTTCCTCTGTACACTTCTAAATTAAGAAACAAAAGTCACTTTTTGCAGAAAAGTCACCGCATTGTGCCTCGAATGTGTCGAAACTACCGTCCGTTACATTTTTAATGTTTCTTGTTTTTCCTGGTTTTGTTGGCCAGAACTGGAAGCCTCGGCCCTCGGGGTCAAGGCACGTTCATATCCGCGTCACACTTACCAACCGCCCTGGCCTCAGCGTCGGTTTGGTTTCACTATAAATAGTTATTTTTGTATCTTATGAAATAAAACTTTTTTTTATTTTAAAATATTTTTTCAGATATATCTAACATCTTAAAATATTTTGTGATGAATTCAGTACTTTAAAATATTTTTTTAAGTACGTCCAAGATCTAAAAATATTTTTTGCTGCATCCCATACCAAAATAAAAAAAATATTTCAGGGTTCCAGACACATCTAAAATTTTTTTTAAAATATTAGATACACCACATAATACTCTAAAATACTGAATGTACCTGAGAAAATATTTGATCTGCCGGACGTATCATAACCCTTACACCTATCGTGTATAACTTAAATTACTTCAGATAAATCGTTCCAAGCCACTCAAAAACAAGAATAAGGTATATCCAAAAACTTATTCTTATATGAAAAAAAAAAAAGGAGGGAGTGGTATTCTTACTATTCTTAATGCAAGAGTAGCTACTTAATTAATTTACAAAAATAAAAAAAAGCTAGATAAATTATTTGATTTTAATTAAAATAACATAATCTTCTTAAAATATCCCTATACTATAATATTATATTATATACCAGTTTATAAGTTAAATAAATAGATTTTAAAGAATTAATAAATATGAGAAATAAAAATAATAAATAGAAGTCTTACGTTATTATTCCTAAATAATGAAATAATATTGGATTAAACGGGCGATGCGAAGATAGAAAATGAGAGGGTGAGCACGCGTTCCCCGTCAAACACATGCCCGATACGTTAGAGGAAAAAAAAGGACTCTCATCTAATGTCTACATTCTATTATGCTCCATTACATTGCATCTTTGTCTTTTCTGTTGATTTTTTTTTTTCAATATATAAATATGTGACAAATTTCAATATTTCCTCCCAAAATAAATGAAGCTCTCCCGTCGGCTTCCGTTTATTTCCCTTTCAAGGGCTCATCACATGGGTTTTCACCATTTTACTTTCTTCACTCTCTTTATTTTTCTCAATCCACCTCTGGATTTTAATATTTCCTCCTAATTATTTATATTTAACTTTTTTTAGTCTGAAATTATGTAAACTTAATATAAACATTACAAATAGAGGAATATAGAAGAAATTGAAACGAAAAAATCACTTCTGAAAAATCATTTTGTATTTTAATTAAAGAAATGTAATCCATTCAGCATTTTAATTTGGCATTGTGACTAATGTCTTCCTACTAGACTTATTTTTACTAATCCAGGGCGTAAAAATAACAGATCCAGTTATTTCATAATTTAGATTAATGTATTCATTTATTAATGTTGTTGTTGATATTCTCATTTATTCATTAAAAATTTAAAAACTCAATGGCAAAAAATTTTTTTTAAAAAAAACTCACGCAAGTCTCTTGGCGAAATTAATAAATTTGACATAATAAATAGAAAAAAATTATTTAAATATCTTTTTAATATAGCATATTATTTATTTATATCAATTTAAACAATGGTAACTCTTCTTAAAATGTTTTTTTTAATAGTTAGACCACTTCAATTTTGTTTTTGGCCAAAAGACCACTTCAATTCGAAACTTTATAATTAAACGACAATTGTCGGTCACGAGAGTTTTATTTTTTTTAATTATAGAATTATATCCACGACGGCAGAAACAACAAAAGATGACAAGACGATCAGAACCCAATTATGACAGTAACATATAAACATATGCGGACATAAATAAACAATTCAAAGAAATGATAGTGCTCCTTATCTTTGCTCAATAAATAACTCCCAAGCATTTTCTTTCCCTTTTTATTAGTCAAAAATCCCCACTAGAGTGCCTCCATATAATTACAAAACAAGACATCATTGACCTTTGAAGCTGACATCTTTAATGGCATCAGTTTTTCCATTAACCACTCGTTGTTTGTATCTTTCTTGACCCTCATCGTATCCAAACCAAATCTTCTTTTTTGGGCCTCTCCCCAACCTTTTTATTTTAATTAAGAAACTCTTTCCCTTAGATAATTGTGACTTTTGTTAAAAAAAGCAATGTCCTTATCTTCATTGATAATTTTTTTCTCTCTTTTTAACTACAGGCTTATTAAAAGTTAAATTTATACTTATTTACAAGTAAAAGTAACCAATCAATTTACGGATAAATGTTTCGAATTAATTATAAAGAAAACTGAATCCATGTAAGAAGAATCAAAATTCAGAAAGCTACATTCAGAGATTTAGATATAATTTAATCATGGATATCTATTTAACTAACATTAGGAATATTAAGGTGGCGATGCAATTCTTATTTTCTCTAATAGAGTATATTTGGATGTTACTGAAACATGGAAATGACCTTTTTAGGGCATCCAAAAAGGAAAAAACAAGATCAAAAGGACACTTTCAGGCTCAAAAGTCTGACAGTGACACTCATTTCTCCCATTTGCTTCAGTGGGCACGGCATCTATCTCTCTCTTTTTATTCACAACGAAAGACAAGCACTTGAGAAAAATTCATAAACAAATGGGATTTCAGAATTGAGAGATCTTCATCTTCTTCCTTTTTCTTGTATTCCCTCGATCACCAACAACAAAAAAGAAATTAACTAGAGAGATCTTCTTCAACCCCAGAGAGAGCAGAGAGAGATAGATAGAGAGGAGCAACGCAGAATCTATGCTCACCATGTGTTTGATTCAAGACCAAAGAGAAGAAGCGGGGTCCCACGCCAACTATAGTAATCCACACAAAGCATCATTATTCATCATCTTCTGCCACAACACCCCCCACCACCACCAGCCCCAACAATCTCGCACTCTCTCTTTCATCGTAAACCGCAAAGCATCGCTCGCCACCATCATCAACCCCAACCATCCTGCTCTCTTGCTCTCTCTCACTTTTATTCTGCTTCTCTCCTCGTCTTGGCGTACTTGCTCCAATAATTTATCCTCCTAAACTATTTTTTATTACCTCACTGCAAAAAGTCCAAATCCAGCTGCTTCTTCGCCCCACGGCGCCGCACATATATAGATACATTTAAATACAGGGCATATATGCTCGCCGGCGATGCCGACGCCGGTCAGCGTAGCAAGGCAATGCTTAACGGAGGAGGCCGCTCGTGCTTTGGACGATGCGGTGGCGGTTGCACGCCGCCGCAACCATGCTCAGACAACTTCGCTTCATGCTATCTCTGCCTTGCTCGCCTTGCCTTCTTCCCCCCTCAGGGATGCTTGCACACGTAGCTGCTCATATTCTCCGCGTCGACAGTTCAGAGCTTTAGAGCTCTCTGTGGGCGTGTCTCTCGATCGATTGCCCACCACTAAGGCTCTCGAGGACGACCCTCCTATATCCAATTCGCTCATGGCTGCTATCAAGCGATCCCAAGCGAACCAGAGAAGGCATCCAGAGAGTTTTCATTTGATACAGATGCATATGCATCATCAGCAGCAAGCGGCCTCGTTTTTGAAGGTGGAGCTCAAGCACTTCATTTTGTCCATTCTCGATGATCCGATTGTGAGCAAAGTTTTTTGGGAAGCTGGTTTTCGAAGCTGTGAAATAAAGCTTGCGTTGCTTCAACCGCCTATAGCGCAAGCTTCTTCTCGATTCTTCCGCAGCCGTTACCCACCTTTATTTTTCGGCAATCTAACAGGTTCGGAAATGGATCGTCCAGGTTTTAACTTCCCTTTCATGGCCAATCCTGCACACAGAGATGGAGACGAGAATTGTAGAAGAATTGCCGAGGTTCTTGTGAGGAAGACAAAGAAAAATCCCTTACTAATGGGTGTTTACGCGAAGGGTGCTCTTAGGAGATTCACTGACACTGTACAGAGAGGTGAAGTAGGTATGTTGCCAGCTGATATTGCTGGGCTTAATATGATTTGCATTGAGAAGGAGATTGCTGAGTTTTTCGTTGAAGGTCGCAGTGAAGAGAAGATGGTTTTGAAATTTAAGGAATTGAGTCTTGCAGTCGAGCGGTGCTCAGGTCCGGGTATCGTTGTGAATTTCGGAGAGCTTGAGGCATTCGTGGGCGATGGGGTGCCTGGTGTTGCTGTGAATTTTGTCGTCTCACAACTGACAAGCTTATTGGAAACTCATGGTGAGAAGTTATGGCTGGTAGGCATGGCAGGGACCTCTGTTATACATTCCAAGTTTTTAACTATGTTCCCGACTGTGGAAAAGGATTGGGACTTGCATCTGCTGACCATGACATCTGCCTCTCCTTCAATTGAGGGGCTCTACTCTAAATCCAGGTTGGTTCTGTATCTTATGATTCATTGCTTAAATCTGCACTTGGGTTAAAAGAATTGAATATTGTAGATGTCTAGATGTGTGGCCTTATCTGGAAGGAGAAACTAGACTTGTAGCTCAAACTTTTGTCTAATAAGTCAATCAAATGAAAATTTGACCAGGAGTCGCCTTTATTGTAGGATTCTTTCACTTATTTTTCAAATTGAAATGTTTTTTTCACCCGGTTCTCTTTATCTTTCTCGCTGCTTATTGGATCCGTCTTTTGCTTGTTCTTTGTGGATTTAGAGCTTAGTGAAGTTCATGATTCAAGATTCGTAATTTAGTTCATTTTCGACGGCAACATACTTGGTGTGTTAGAAAAATTGTTCACACATATAAGCGTGTTGCTCGCCTAGAACAAGTAATAGGCGGTCTTGGCTGTTCTTGATACCCGCTATGTCAATTGGTCTGAAAGGATTCCTTCAGGAACAGAGCTGTTGCTTTGAACGCGCTTTCAATGTTTTGTTTTGCGGGATTTAGGCCAATTGCATTCTTGCCTTCTCTTCGTTTGGCCGAATGCTTTTACTTTCTATTATTGTGATTTATAATCTTGGCAGCTTTTGGCAATTTATGAGATGCATTTATGAAGCCCAATCAGTGCTTATATGTGATGTGCTTGTGTTGACCAATATGTGCCATCACAGCCATTATTTCAACCTGCAGTCTTTTGGTGATTGCGGTAATTAATGCAGTCTTTTAACATATTTAAGCTGATGATACTTGGTCTCTTTGACGGTGTACATTTTTAGCATCTGACTTTTTCCATGCCTATTGGATCTCACAGTTCCCTGCTCATGATGAACTTACAGTTTGATGGGGTCCTTTGTGCCATTTGGTGGTTTCTTTTCTACACCACCTGAATTCAAAAATCCAGTAAGCTGTGCAAATCAATCTTCTGCCCGCTGTCAGACATGCAATGAGAAGTATGAACAAGAAGTTGCTGATGTTTTGAAGGTAGGTCCTACAACTTCAGCATCTAGTCACTCAGTGAGCTTGCCTTGGCTGCAACAGGTTAATGTGGATAAAGATAAACGGTTGGATGTTGCAAAGGTGAGTTATGATCAGTAGATATTAGTTTTTTTTTTGTTCAATTCATCCAAAGACATTCACTAGAGTGTGCACGCTCTTTTAACGAGACAGAGATTTTGGTTATCTGTGGTGCTTAATGCGTAGTAGGAGAAATTGTTGTACTGATACACAAAAGTGACTTAAGGGTATGCTGACGCAATGCTAACTTTCCTGCCCTGGTAGAACTAGAAGGGAGCTAAATAATAAGTATATGGACTTACATTTGGAGGTGAATTCAACAAAAATTATGTTATTGTGGCAAACCCGATAAAATGGCAGCATGTCTTTTGGAAATGTCTTTTCAAATTTTATTTTGCAGAACCCTTGGCGATTAATTATTGAATTGAGAAATGTAAAGATGTTTGTTCCAATATTGGAATTCAGAACTAAATGGGATCATTGGCTTTTCTGAAATTTAGTTTAGGACGCAAAATCATATCATGCATTAAAAAGTAGATTCTCTTTTATAGTTGGCTTTGATCTTAACAATTGCACCTGCAATGGTTGAAGAGACTTAATTTGGAATATTAGGAAACGAGAAAAGTGTTCTCGTTCTTTACATGAGAGCTCATGCTCAACATTTGTAATTCTTGGTCTTTTTTGTCAATAAGATGAGACTGTAACTTGCATGTTTGTGTATATCTACATTAAGTGTTCTCAGTCTTGTTTTCCTTTCTGCTAGCGGTAATAATGTTCTGCCTCGCATGCCATACATTATTTGTTGAATTGTGAATGCATTTAAGGATGCACTTCATCATCCATGCAGGCTAATGAAGAATTCCCCACTTTGAATGCAACTATGCTGGGATTGCAAAAGAAGTGGGCTGATAATTGTCAGCGTCTTCATCACAATGAGTCATTTCCAGACTTAAATGTATCCCAAACAAAGGCTCAGCTTCCCTCTCTTGACGGCTTACAATTTGGTTTGGGTTTTAGAGAAAGCAGCAGTAAAGATCTATCAGTTGATCAAATCCAGCATTCTAAACATGGTCTCTACATGCCTCAAGAGTTACATAGTATTTGCCCATCAAAGCAGATGTTACATGCTACTTCAGAGAGTTCTGGAATTGATACAGGAGCTGACAAGGGAGCAGCTGGTTCAAAGAGTCAGCAAACTGACGTGCAGAACCCTTGGGTTGCCCCTTCACCTGTGGCCAATATGAGTCAGGTCGATCACATATCATCTTCCTCCCTTGCTTCTGTGACCACTGATTTGGGATTGGGAACTCTCTATACATCAGCAGCTCAGGAGCCAAATACGCCAAAAGTAAAAGATCATAGAGACAGCATACGGCACTTTTCAGACTCCATTTCAGCTGATCTTGATGCTGTGAATGAAAATACTTCGTACCAAGTTGCTCAATCCTCTCCTTGCTCTGTTCCCATGGAAGGGAAACTGGATTCGGTAGATTTCAAGTCACTTAACCAGCTTCTTGCTGGAAGAGTTAGCTGGCAAGCAGAGGCCATATCTGCTGTCAATCGAGCCATGTCCCTCTGTAGATATGGCACCAGAAAGCACAATGGTTCCCGTGCTAGAGCAGATGCATGGCTTGCTTTCCTTGGACCTGACAGAGTTGGAAAGAAGAAAATTGCTTTAGCACTTGCAGAGAAAATATTTGGAGACACAGAAAGGCTAATCTCTGTGGATATGAGTTCTCAAGGCAGAGACTACCCATTAAATGTGGTTTTTGAATGCCAAAAGTCAATTTGTCATGACGTGCTTCGGAGGAAGACAGTCGTGGACTATATTGCTGGGGAGTTGAGCAAACAACCCCATTCAGTTATATTTCTTGAAAATGTAGATAAAGCTGATTTTCTGGTGCAGAATAGTTTGCTCCAGGCAATAAGAACAGGTAAATTTCCAGACTCACATGGCAGGGAAATCAGTATCAGTAATGCACTCTTTATTGTAACTTCAAGCGTCTTCAAAGGCGAACACTCTTTCCTTTTGGAGGAGGAGCCTGTGTTTTCTGAGGATAAAATCCTTGAAGCCAAAAGATGTCAAATGCAGTTACTACTTGGGCGTTCTTCTGAGTGTCCCATAAGAAGCAGTGACACAAATGTCAGAGTAACGCCGGGAAGAGAGGCCTCCAAACCAGCAATTCTGAATAAAAGAAAACTGAGTGAAAGAAGTGACTCTGTAGAGCAAGCAACCAAATGCAAGCTACAGAAACAGGTCCTAGAGACACCAAGATCTTCTCTAGATTTGAATATGCCTCTCCAGGAAGTTGAAGAGGACTGGTTTGATGATTTTTGTAGTCAACTTGACGCCAGAATAACTTTTAAGCGCTTCGATTTTGATGCACTCGCTGAGAAACTCTTAAAAAGCATCAGTTTGCAGTTTCGGTTGACGTTTGGATTAGGGTTTAAGCTGGAAGTTGACTATGAAGTCATGGTACAGGTCCTAGCAGCCGCTTGGTTATCTGACAAGATAAATGCTGTGGAGGATTGGGTTGAAAACGTACTCGGCAGAAGCTTCAATGAAGCTTTGCAGAAATACCAACCCGAGCCTCAGCATTGCATTAAACTAGTGGCCTGCGAAGGGATTTTTGTGGAAGAGCATGGTCCTGGAGTATGCCTTCCTGCTAATGTTAACCTCGAGTAAATTTTGGCTCGCTATGTATCAGTGTAATTACATGTAAAACTTAGCTTTTAGGATAAAAGTACTTGGCAGTCAGTAAATCCCACGATTTTTTTGGTTATCATTTGGTTGTAAGAAACTATGGTAAAAGAATTTATAATCCTTAGTTCTTGTACATTAGTAACATGTTCCTTTTCTATTTTCTGTTTCGTTTTTGTTTATCTATTCAACTCTTCCCGATGTCCCTTTCCATAAAATGTACCCTGTGGGCTGTGAAGAACATTGCAGTTCTGGAAACGGAAAATAAATTGGAGAAGTCGGGAGTTCAGGCTGACTTTCAGAGTGGGAAGAGTCAAACTGGGGCCAAAACAATTGAAAGAACAGAACGAAACAAGTATTGACCTGCCATTGAATAATCATCATTATTACTATTATGTGATTGTTATGTTTCAACATGTGTTTTATGTAACTCCATGCTTACCCCTTGAACTTCGGGCGTGAGACTGGACCCTTGAGGGTGACTTGGGGATTACATTTTCGGCCCATGAGCAACTTGGATAATTTGGGCTTTTCGGTGAATCTTATAAATACTACCTCCGATTTTAATATAAAAACTAATTAACTAATTTAAATAAATTAAAAAAATAGTTGAATTAGTTATTTTTAATAAATAGGTGATTTTTCTTAAAATATTCTTGTTAATCAAGTGTATTGGTTAGAACTATCATTATTACCAGACTATATTAAAAAGAATGGATAAATATGAAAGACAAAGTGAATTAGGATATTATATTTACGGTTAAAATAAAATTTAAACAAGTTTTTATATTAAGTATTGGAGGTAGTATAATAAGGACTTTTATTCATGTTTACTTTTCTTATTGAGGCCAGCACATCGTTAATCGTTAAATAAACTAATAAACAAATAAACCACAAATGACGTGAACTACAACAAATAGCGGCAGTTTAATAAGAGTCGAATACAGGTTAGTTTACATGAACCCACCAAAAGAAAATTAATAAAATTTGTATAGCTTTTGAATCCCTCTGTCAGATCATTTTATGAGGAATTTGAAAACATTTGATAGTAAAATATATTAAAGATGATCTGAATTGAAGCAAGACCGATGTTTAAAAAAACAAAACAAAACAGAACAATTTATTGACAAGTCCTTTTTATGCGTGAAAACGATATCCGGAAGCTGGACATATATAAGAGCTAATTTCTTCCAAGCCGTCTACGTCCATTGTACTTCACAGTAGGGGAGGGTTTTGTATGGTCTTAGGATATAAGCTGCATTGTTCGGCTTTTCAATACAGCTATTTAATAATTTATGATTTATGTTTATCCACAATGTGATCGTTAAGTTGACCAAATATTCAATTATTCATTAGGTAAGGTATATATCTATGGATTATAATATTATATATCAGTATAACTAATTTATATTCGCATGTGTATGTAATAGTGAGCTTGTCAAGTCACACAAATGTTGACTTTGACATTTTTTCTTAAAAAGAGTTTTATGAAGGATTCTTTTGTAAGGGTTCAAGTACTTTACAATATACTAAGTAAATATATAAGGAGTTTATTTTGCTATATAAAAAAATATTTTTGGTAATATCCAAACACCCTTATATCTCAAGAAACAGTCAAAATCTTAACTCTATAATGTTCACCGAAATTCGGTGTCTTAAGAGCTATCTTGTTCGGTTTGAGAGAGAGAGAATTCGTATAAATCAATCAATTACCATTTATTGGATTTTCTTATTTAAAATATTCCCTTTATTCCTTTCTATAAAAACAATATTATCTGACCAACACACATATATAAAAAAAAACAATTTGATCTAACTTATGTCCTAAAATATTTTGTTATTTTTCCCTTTGAGCCCCGTTCAACGCTGATTATTTTTTAAAATTTTATTATACTATGAGTCGAATCATTTTATTAATTGATTGGGAGTATTTCAGGAAAAAAATTATTGGTTATTCCAAAAAGTTTATAAATCGTTTTATAACTAAAGCCAGTACACCCTCCAAAATGTTATTTTATAATTATAAACAAGAGATACTAATATGTATTGTTTTTATTTTTTGCCAGCAAGTAATATGCCTTCTTATGCTAGGGACAAAAGATAAAATTACTATTAATTTTTTATCACGATCTATCCGATTTTTTTTTTTTTTATATGGCTTCAAGATCTCATATTTAAACAGTAAAAACTTTTTTTTTTGTTATCCAGAGTATCCTCTCACCTGAATGGTGAGAGACTAATCTCTCGAAATACTGTTAGACACTATAATGAAAACCCCTCCCAATAATATTTTTTTCAGAAATTAATCTCTCGGAGTACTGTCAGGCGCCGTAATGGAGACTCCGCCTAATAATATTTTTTTCATACACATCGTCTTAAACATCAAACTCAAGCATTATATTTAAGGTGTCTAACTTTTTTGGAAAAATTGAGGAGAAGGACCTAAAAAAATTAGTATTTATGGAGAGGGATCTTAAAAATTGTAATTAATTTGAAGGACCAAAAATTAAAATATGAATTTACAATTACGAAATTATCCCTGGCCAAATCCCTACATTATCTCCAAGACCCATCTCAATATTTGACTATCAGTTATCAATTGAAATATAAATTTATAATTACTAAATTGCCCCCCATTAAAATTAAAAACTAAATACAGCAAGTAACAAAAAATAGAGTCCTATTTTTCAGTCATTCATATCTGCATCTACTAGCCTTTCATTCCAATATGGCTGGAAAAACTTCCAGCTTGCACAACTGTGATTTTGCCCCTCATTCCGATGTGGTTGGAAAAATTATTAGTGAAGCTTAGGTTACAAAGGGGTACTATTTACTTGATTTTCATATTTTGATTAACAGAAAGAACTATATTTATATTCATCTAAAAAGCTTTGTATAGGTAGTGTGATTGTGTTCATATGTATGTATAGTTGGGATTGAATGAAGGTATAAATGTATACTTTTATTTTAATTTTTGGTCTTTCAAATTAATTACAATTTTTAAGATCCCTCTTAATAAATACTAATTTTTTTAGGTCCTTCTCCTTAATTTTCCCAACTTTTTTTTACTTGGACTAATACTTCTTGGTCCCATCTTATTGAGATCAATGGTTGTTGTCCAGTTATATTTAAAGATGAACCTCTTTGTTTGGCCCAACACTAATAAAGTGTCTAACCTGCGCAAAAAATTGCAAAATAACAGTATCCATCATTGTCTTTTTTTATTTTTTGTTTTTTAAAAAAGAACGGAACGTTTAACTGCCGTGGATCGTTAAGCCACAAGATAAGTGCATGAATTGAATTTGGGGTGTCAAACATCTAGAAACCATCGATCCGTCCCTCTCATGAATCGATAACTTTAAGAAAACATGTTTTTTTCCTTAATGGGTTGCCCTTTTTTTGGTCAATTTAATGGGTTGCCTTTTGCAAAAGAATAAAGCATAAGATGACAAAAAATGGGGCCAAAAAAAGGTCAGGACAAACAAGTCTAATCGGAGCCGACTGTCCATGCCCACCAGAATTACTGACCAATAAAACGCGTTCGTATTGTCAGAATTGTCCGTGACAGTCAGTGACAGTCAGTGACGCTAGACTAACTTCTCAGGCAATGTGCTTTATTATTACTCCTCCGATCCTAATTATAAGACCCAATTGACTTATTTGAAGAGATTAAAGAAGTAAGTTAAGTTGGTTATTTATAATAAATAAGTGTTGTTATTCCTAAAATATCCTTGCTAATTAAGTATATTGGCTAAAACTATCATTATTAGAAGGATTATCTTGGAAAAAAATGCATAAATATAAGAGAGAAAATGGATTGGGTCTTATAATTAAGACCAAATAAAAAGTCAAATTGAGTCTTATAATAAGGACCGGAGGAGTATTATTTTTTAAGGAAAATTAAGGAATCATGCGGACGGTCATGGCATAGCCACGTCAGCCACAAACGCCTGAAGCGTGATCGTCCTGAATATATCAGGTATGGATGCTTCGGTGAGACCGACCCCCGAAACAACATTTACGTGGCTCTTCTTTATTTGATGGCTTTTGGTTAGTATGCGCCGCCCAGCCCACCACAATATTTTAAATCATTTTCTGGTTTTAGCCGTTTTCCACTGCATTTATTGCCAAAAAAAAAAAAGTTTAAAACGCAGGTAAGGTGTGTGGTTTATAATATAAGAACGAGTTTGGATTAGTTTTTTCAAAAAAATAATCTTATATCACATAAAGTAAGTATTTTTTTTTAAAAAAATTCATCTCAGTTTACCTGAAAACATTTCTGAGAAATATATGCCATTGGCAAAACATATAAAATTCAATTTATAAAAGATAAAGTAGTATTGGGCAGCAAGACGTTATTTTTCATGAACACTTAGTGCCTTAATCTTAATGTGATGTATCTAATGATTTAATGATTTGTTATTTTCTTAATATATCCAATATCTACTGATATGATTTTTTTTAATCACATGTAGCACCATAAGTCCATAATCTTACTCTTGGTTCGCAGTTCAAAATGCAATATAAATAATATCAAGTTGTTGAGTGCACCGTAAATGAAATTAAGGTGTTAGATGTAATTAAAAAAATAATAGTAAAATATTGGATGCTATTTTATTCTAATATTACATTTAATTCTAAATATAAAATCTATTTTACAGTATAAAATATAAATTACGGTAAAAACTATATTTATATTTAAAAGGAAGGTAATATAAAAACAAAAAAATAAGAAAAGAAATATTAAATACAACAATTATCAAATACTCTAAATATTATGAAAGCATACGTATGTTTTGGGAGAAATCGAATCTGGAGAGAACATCACTTACATGGGGGGTTCTTCTCAGTTTTGGGAATTTATATATATATATATATATATATATATTATTTAAATCATACAATAACAATTTTGCGCCACCCAGAATAATGGTTTTAGGGACATTTAGGAAAAGGCATAAATTCTTCCCAAACCAAGTTATTTTTCCTTCCTGAATGAAGTTCACTGCATATACTATGCTATTCTCTATAATTTGTCTTTCCAGATTTAAATAATTTTTTTATCAAATTAATGTATTCTAAAAATATTTTAAATGGGTCTGATAAAAAATTTATTGCGGATAAGAATAAAATAAAGGCTGTTTTGCTGTTTCGATAAATCTAAAATAGCTAAAATTGCATTATATAGACGTGGATGATACTGGCTTTTTATAAAGAATTCCAAAATTTTAAAAAAACTAAGTAAAAACATAATTATATTTTTCAAATTTCCGAAATTGATTATTGATCATCCCTCTAAAACTCGTTCTGATTTCTGAAGTTTTTTTTGGCCAAAAAATTTTTCCGAATTTTTTTTGCCAGACATTTTGAAGTTGGTTTTAGGAAAGTTTGAGAAAAGAATTTTAAAATTAGTTTTTTTTAAATTAATACCTCTAACATTTTTAACATGACATAGAAAGAAGCCAACTCAAATTAAAATTTCAAAATTTAAAAAAAATGATAAAAATATTTTGTGTAAATAAAAATTTATTTAAAAATAACAAATTTTGATTGTGAAATAAAGATACATTTTTTTTCTGATGCATGACATGTGACATAACATGTGAATTAATTAAAAATAAGATTAATTCATCTAGAGATAAAAATTCCTGATTGTAAAATTACAAACCTTAATTTGGAATTAAAATTACATTTTTATTAATGAATAATATATGAAAAAACACGTGAATCAATTAAAAATAATAAATTCTGATAGTAAATTACAAGTTTCAATTTAGGACTAACAATGCGTTTTTTTAATAAGATTAATGAAGGGGTATTTTTTTTAATTTCAAAATTTTAATTTGGATTTATTTTATTCTATGTTATTTTGAAGTGTTAAATGTTTGAATTAAAAAATATTAATTTCATAATTCTTTTTCGTGGTTTTATGATTTGCAGTGGGACTAAAAACAAATAAATAAGAAAAAATGAGTGGAATTGGTAAAGGGAAGGAAGGAGCCGGTGGGCAGCTAGGTGGGAATGTGGGATCGTCTTTTTGACCCAATCCATAAAGACAAGGAGGCTGAAAAGTCCACTTCCTCCTTTCCTTCCTTCTCTCTCTCCCCCCTCAAAAGCTTTGAAGCGCTCAAGTTAAAAGCTGAAACAAAAACCAGAGCCTGCTTTGCCATACGTGCTTCGGTGGTGTGCTTTAATCATCGCAAGGTATATGCTTCTTCATTATCGCATGCTGGTTTCTCTTATTCCTGTTGATGGGTCCTCGAATTTCAGCTCAAAATCTGGTCTTTGAAATATGCTTTTGCTTACTTGCCAAGAAAATTTCTGAGGATGATGTTGTTCATTTATGGGCTTCACTGGTAGAGGGAAGTTACCAAAACGATGTAACGGTCGCAGTTTTTTAAAATATAATAATTTTTGGTTCAGTTGATAACAATTTTCTGTTTCCTCATTTTATTGTAGTTGTGCTAAAAATTAGAAGTTGTTATATTGATGCCTATGTGAACATTTATATTTCAACGGATGCTCGTTACTAACTATTTGGTGACTCCTTATCGCACAACTCTCTAAATATGCTTCCATTCGTTAGCCGCCTCAACAGTAGTATCACCGTCCGCAAATTCTTTCTTCTTACCTTCTCCGTTTTCTTTCTAGGTTTCATAGGAATTGGAGCTATAAATATTCTATTTTCTTTCACTCTTGATATCCTGTCTGGCGCAATATCATCTCGAACGTGTTATCTGCTCTGATTTTGCAGGTCTCTGTGAAGGCTTGAAGGGAAGATAATTTCCATGTGCAGCGGTTCCAAGAGGAAACCCTCTCAAGCAGGTTTCGTTATGGAGGATGAATATGGGAAAGAAGAGGGGCTGCATCACAATACTTATGTCTTGCTTGAACTTGCAGCCTCAGATGATGTTGCGAGTTTCAAAGATGCAGTTGAGCAAGAGGGTCTTGATGTCGATGAGGCTTGCCTGTGGTATGGTAGGAGGATTGGCTTAAACAAATTGAGCTATGAAGAGAGGACTCCTCTCATGATTGCTGCCATGTTTGGAAGCAAGGGCGTGCTAAGTTATATACTCGAAACCGGTCATGTTGATGTTAACAGGACTTGTGGAGGAGATGGGGCTGCAGCCCTTCATTGTGCTGTTGCTGGGGGTTCAGCCTCATCCCCTGAGGTTGTAAAGCTTTTGCTTGATGCACGTGCAGATGTTAGTGCCGTTGATGCTAATGGTAACCAACCTTGTGACTTGATTGTTTCTGGGGCTAATTCGATCTTCAATTCAAGGAAGAGGATCCTTCAAACCATACTGAAAGGTAAGGATGTTATTGATGGGGCATGTCTCCCATTTGAGGATACCGTTAGCCAGATGGAGCAACAGAAACAGCCAGAGATGGCTGCATCTCATGTTTCGAAAGATGTGACTGAGAAGAAGGATTATCCTATTGATCTCTCTCTTCCTGACATAAAGAGTGGGATTTATGGTACTGATGAGTTTAGGATGTATACATTCAAGGTAAAGCCTTGCTCAAGGGCTTATTCTCATGATTGGACTGAGTGCCCCTTTGTTCATCCAGGGGAAAATGCTAGGCGACGGGATCCTAGAAAGTATCATTATAGCTGTGTCCCTTGTCCAGAGTTTCGGAAGGGATCATGCAGCAAGGGAGATGCCTGTGAATATGCACATGGTATTTTTGAGTGCTGGCTTCACCCAGCCCAGTATCGCACACGGCTTTGCAAGGATGAGGGTGCTTGCACCAGAAGGGTTTGCTTTTTTGCTCATAAGCCTGAGGAGCTTCGCCCCTTGTACCCTTGCACTGGGTCAGCTATACCTTCTCCCAGATCATTTTCATCTAGTTCTTGTTCATTGGATATGGGATCGCTTAGCCCACTCTCACTGGGTTCGTCATCTGTCATGATACCTCCAGTCTCAACACCACCTCTTACTCCTTCTGGTGCATCTTCTCCTGTTGGTGGAACCATGTGGCAGGCCCAATCTAATGGTGGGGTCCCTACCCTGCAACTGCCAAGAAGCAGACTAAAAACTGCTTCAAGTGCTAGAGATGTCGATTTAGATATTGCATTACTTGGACTTGAAAATCAACGCCGTAGGCAGCAGATGATGATGGATGAGATTTCTGGTCTTTCCTCGCCATCAAGCTGGAGGAGTTCTGTGCCTGATAGTCATTCTTTTCCTGTCTCTTTCAGTGATCACGCTGGGGAGTTGAATAGGTTTGCAGCAATGAAGCCTACCAACCTTGATGACATTTTTGGGTCAGTTGATCCAACAATTGTGCCTAAATTACAGGGAATTTCACTCGACACTGCTGGACCTCAGTTGCAATCTCCAACTGGGTTCCAGACGCGTCAGAATGCAAACTTGCATCTGCGAAGCTATTCTTCTGGCCTTTCCAATTCAAATGGGATGGGATCGCCGTCTTCTGTGAATGATCCATCTGTATCATCAGCAACCACAATGGCCTTGAATGCACGACTTGCTGCCTTTTCTAAGAGAAGCCAGAGCTTTATTGAGCGCAGCGCAGTAAACTGGCACCCAGAGCTTTCCTCTCCGGTTTCTTCAACGACAAAGGCTTCTGCCTTATCAGACTGGGGATCCCCTGATGGAAAGTTGGACTGGGGCGTCCATGGTGAAGAGTTCAATAAGCTGAGGAAATCCGCTTCTTTTGGATTTCGAAGCAGTAGGAGCACCCCAGTTCCAGCAAATCTCGCTGAACCGGATGTTTCTTGGGTTCATTCACTTGTAAAGGATGCTGCGCCGCAAGAATCCGGTCAATTTAGTGTTGAAGAACAGCAAAAGCAGCAACTGCAATGCCATCGTAAAAATGGAACAGATGCAGTTCCAGCTTGGATGGAACAAATTAACATTGAGCAGGAGCAAATGGTAGCATGAATGCATTGTAATTTCTTGCATCAGCTCTCTTTCCTGTTGTGTTTAACAAGTATATCTATTCAATCATCTTCAAAATTCTATAGAAATTCATTATATTTAGGCGAAAATTTGTAGAAAGTATAGTACAATAAATTCTCAGGGAAACAATAAACTAGTTGGGCAGGACGCAAGTTCTATGCTACACCAACCACTTGTTACTAGGATAATTGATTCCATTTCTTCTTTTCTATTCCTGTATTCCTATTTTAGTTTGGTTCTATTGAGTTGTAATCTTAAATTGACCGAGAATGAAACAAGCTGTAGTGAGATTATGTTGTTGATAAATTCGCTGTGCCAATTTGTTTCTTTGAACACGTGTTTAAATGTTTGTTTTTAAGCTCTCTAATAAAAATTGACATTTCAGTATTCGTTTTGAAGTTCTGCTCTTCTTAATTCATTGTTCTGTAAAAGTTCTTCTGCATGTTGGCATATTTAGTTGAAAAGGGAAAAATAACATGAACTGTTTAAAACCTTCTGCCTAGGTTCTCTCTTCTGATTATTGCGCCTCTATGGTTTACTTAACTCTGAAATATCGGTTTTGGTTGTGATATAAATCCATGGGAACAATCACGCCTCTAAAAACCTGGCTCAATATAATGTTTATGATATCAGAGGATGCAAGATTCCAAAGTTATATGAACTTGAGAAAGTTTGATTTCTACACTTCACTTTTAGTAATGTTATGCCTTGTGTCAAAATCACTTTCGCAAATTGTTACATCACTTGGCAGAATCCACTATATGTAATTGATGCTATCTTTTATTCCCATGCATTGTCATTAGCTAACTTGCAGACAGAAAGCATCAGATATGCACTTGATAGCTAATTTGTCTGTTTGTTGAAGGAATCACTTTTACTGAAGAGTTTTTGATTTGATTGAGAATCAGGATAGGATGTAGTTCACTTGTGTCCTTCTCTGCATTATTTTCCTTATATAATAAAAATAAATGCCTTGTTGCTTCATTCTGAGTGCTGCTTTCGGCTCTAAAGGTTTTGTGTTCATCATTGTCTTAGTGGGGAAGATTATGGAGCACTGGGAAAGAAAAGGTTCTCACAATTGCGTGACGTCTTGGGACTTTGGTTCTGTCTGCCCTTCTGCTCATTGAGACAGAGAACATCATTAGTTTAGTTTTTTTTTCCCTGACTGGTTCAGTTAGACCTAAAAAAAAAAAAAGGGGTTCTTAGTTTTTTCTACTGAGGTTAACTGGAAGGACACATCCACACTCATATTTATCTAAGATCAAGACCTGAAAAACTTGGTGTATTGTCCTAATGGCAAAGTAATCCCTTTGTATGAAGAAGATGGTAGGTTATAATTCTTACACGGCAAGTTTAACCTTATTTTCAATTCAAATAAAGAAAAATAAGCCTTGAATCTCTCCTCTGTGCAGATTGGGAAGGTGTTTGTATTGTTGTGGCAGCATGTTATTGGCATATGGGTTCTTAGTTAGCCTCCAGCTTTGTGTTCAATGAGAATTTTCTCCTGGAGTAAATCGATCACAGGTTTTTGAAATTTTTTAGACAAGGTTGGAAAGGAAACTTATTTTAATTCAATTTCATAATTTTTCTCCCAATAAAAATGATCCCTCTTTCAAACAAAATCACTATTATTTTACAATTAAGCAGTGAAAGAAGACACCTTAAGCCAACAAAACCACCCAAATCAGCCAAAACCACTGTCAAGAGATGCGGAAAAGCAATTGAGCAGTATTTGATTTTACATTTTAAAATAGTCCAACGTGCGTTTAGGCCAACAAACCCAAAGACATGTTTTAAAATTGGAATGCTCTGAAATTCACACGGCTAATTGCTAACACAGCAAACACACTCAAATTTATTGATGAACGATATACCCAATACATATATGCTATTGTGCAGTTGTGCGGATATTCTGAATCTGATTTATTTAGATTAAATTTGCAAATGTCTAATAATACTATGGGCTATGGCATTCATTTCTATAATCTGTCAATTAGATCTTAGTCTGCGTTATCACAAGAAGAAGATAGAAACCCCAAAACTGTTATTACAAAAACAAATGAGTTTCTGTAAAAAGTGAATTATCCCAATAGCACGCATGATATTTTGAAAACAAATTCTGAAATTCAAAACCCGTTTGCTACGAATATTTACCTTTTTTGCTTTATTTCATGTTACTAGCTTTCTTTTGAATTTTTTATTTTTTCAAATAAAAAAGGGTGGAAGAAGCGGGGAAAGTGGGAGAAGTATGAAAGAAAGCAGGTTTTTTTAAAGTGGGAGTGATGCGAGGGTGGCTTTATTATACTACTTTCTGTGGTATTAAGTTTTATAATTTTTACTAAAAGTAGTATTAAATAAAAGTATTTGTCCTCTTCATAAGAAAAGTCCGCATTCAAAATACAATGATAGTACTTTCATTTCTTTCCTAATGAATTTGAAGTTGACTTGCCTTCTGCCATCTGGGGTAGTGGTTTTTTATTAGGATTCTAAGCATTTAATTCCTTGTTAACCCTTAGAATATAAAGGGAAAAAATTATATACTACTTCTGGTCCTTATTATAAGAACCAGTTGATTAATTTGAGGAAATTAAAGAAGTAAGTTGAGTTAGTTATTTATCAAAAATAGGTGTTGTCTTTCCTAAAATATCTTTGCTAATCAAGTGTATTGACTAGAACTATCATTGTTAGAAGGGCTACTTTGGGGAAAAAATGTATAAATATGAGAGACAAAGTAGATTGGGATCTTATATTTAGGACCAAAATAAAAGTCAAACATGATCTTATATTAAAGACGGGAGGTAGTATAAAACAATATCAGTTTTATACAAATTATATTAAAAATATTTTAGAAATTATAGCTACCCTGAAATTATTTCAAAATTATAATTTTGCTAAAAATTAATAATAAATAGTTTTAATGGTGTATGATGATTTTTATTTCCAATGAAAAAGCCGAAGACTGGAACCAGGTGTCTCTCTTGAGGGAGGTAGGAAAAGCCGAAGCGCGTTTCATTGGATTGGCGAATGCTTATTTATTGGGTTTGACGAGGATGACATTATTAAAGTGTTGCCCTCTCAGAGCGTAGCTTAAGGCTAAAAAGTATTGATTCTTAAGATACGGCCCAGAATCTGTGCTCTGCCCCATGTTTTAATTAATTAATTAATGATTATAGGACATGTTTGGCCCAAAAGCCGTAAAGCCCCTCCTACGCCTCTCATCCTTTGTATAGTTTAAAAATAGGGAAAATTTCACTGTAGGACCACAGAAGACAATTAATATCAAAGAGCTCCCAAAACTTTCTGAAACCTCACTGCAGGACCAAGGGACCAATTTGATATTAATTTTTAGAGTGAGATTACAATAATACCCCTCCCTTTTTATTTTATTAAAAAATAAATATTTACCGGAGTTACTATTCCGGCCACCGGCGCTCAGGTGGCCGCCGTCGGGGTCTGGTCACCGGTGGCCAGAACAGTAACTCCGGCGGGACCTCCGGTGGCCGGAGTTTTTTTGTTTAATTTTGTTTAAAACAAAGTGACCAAGGGAGGGTTTGAACCCAGGACCTCTTGGCACACCAAAAGACTTGTAACCACCAAGCCAAGCAACCCATTCAATCATAAAATGCAAATAAAACTATATATAACAAAATAAACTCAACAGTCCAAATGTAAGTGAATAAGTGAAATTAGACGATTTACAAGTGGAATTCAGAAATTTGCAACAAAAATTAGGCAATTTACAAATAACATAATAGAAGTCATAACCCAAAATGCAAGTATTTAAGTGCAAATGAGCAAGTAAAATTTAAAGATTTACAATAAAAGTTTATGGATTTACAACCCAAATTTGGTAAACACAAGAGAATTCACAACCCAAAATGTAAATGTTTGAGTGTAAGTGAAGAAGTGAAATTAGACGATTTACAAGTGGAATTCAGCAATTTACAACAAAAATTAGGCAAATTACAAATAACATAATGGAACTCACAATCTCAAATACAAGTGTTTAAGTGTAAATGAGCAAATAAAATTTGAAGATTTACAACAAAAGTTTATAGATTTGCAAGTGAAATTCGACAATTTCACTTGCTCATTTGCACTTAAACACTTGCATTTGGGGTTATGACTTCTATTATGTTATTTGTAAATTGTCTAATTTTTGTTGTAAATTGCTGAATTACACTTGTAAATCGTCTAATTTCACTTGTTCACTTACACTCAAACACTTACATTTTGGGTTGTGAATTCTCTTGTGTTTGCCAAATTTGGGTTGTAAATCTATAAAATTTTATTGTAAATCTTCAAATTTCACTTGCTCATTTGCACTTAAACACTTGCATTTGGAGTTATGACTTCTATTATGTTATTTGTAAATTGTCTAATTTTTGTTGTAAATTGCTGAATTACACTTGTAAATCGTCTAATTTCATTTGTTCACTTACACTCAAACACTTACATTTTGGGTTGTGAATTCTCTTGTGTTTGCCAAATTTAGGTTGTAAATCCATAAAATTTTATTGTAAATCTTTAAATTTCACTTGCTCATTTGCATTTAAACACTTGCATTTGGGGTTATGACTTCTATTATGTTATTTGTAAATTGCCTAATTTTTGTTGCAAATTTCTGAATTCCACTTGTAAATCGTCTAATTTCACTTGTTCACTTACATTTGGACTGTTGCGTTTATTTTGTTATATATAGTTTTATTTTCATTTTATGATTGAATGGGTTGCTTGGCTTGGTGGTTATAAGTTTTTTGGTGTGCCAAGGGGTCCTGGGTTCAAACCCTCTCTTGGCTACTTTGTTTTAAACAAAAAAAACTTCGGCCACCGGAGGTCCCGCCGGAGTTACTGTTCCGGCCACCGGTGAACGGACCCCGACGGCGGCCACCTAAGCGCCGGTGGCCGGAACAGTAACTCCGGTAAATATTTATTTTTTAATAAAATAAAAAGGGAGGGGTATTATTGTAATCTCACTCTAAAAATTAATATCAGATTGGTCCCTTGGTCCTGCAGTGAGGTTTCAAAAAGTTTTGGGAACTCTTTGAAATTATTTGTCTTCTGCGGTCCTACAGTGAAATTCCCCCTTAAAAATATTTCACACGTATGGGAAAAAAAAATCTTAAACCATATTCACTCTGTTTTTAATTAAATATAACAAATTTTTAATTTTATTCTTTTCTTTGCTGGTATCTTATTCATATTTAATATATATCTTTTAAAAAAGTAATCATCTAAATTATAAATAAATGACAAAATAATATATTCATATTAAAAATATAAGTAAAATATTCAGACTATTCTTTTATTTTACCTCAATTATAGAAACATTTCTTCTATTTTGAAAACATATATGAACCTCCCTTAAAATTAACAGATATGTTACACAAACTTTTCTTAAATGTTGGGGATTTGATTTTCATCTATCCTAATATTAACTGGCCGTTAAGTTTGACTCTTGATTTTTTATTTTGATTAAAATATTCCCCATTAAAATAAGAAGTATTTAAACCTTTATATTTGTTTTTATGCCAAATATTTATATTTGTTAAAAACCTACTTTTTTATGCAACAAAAAATTATTTTAATACATCTATTTTCAAACCTTCTAATATGTCATAAAACTTATTAATTTTGATTATATTATAAAAATTTTATAATTTAAATTTTCATCACATCAATTTAAATCTATTTATTTAATTTTTTTTGAATGGATAAAAAATTTTAAATGCTTTTTTATTATATAATATAAATCATGTAAATTTGACAGATTATATAAATAATTTAATATTTAATATTTAAAAATTTCATACAAAATTTTTTCACAAACATTTATAAACATAGTTACTTAATTACAAATTTATTTAAAAAAATTAATCAAATTTTTAGTTCTCTATTAATTATGTTATTTAAGTTTTTGTCTCAAAAACATTAAAAAAAACAAGTATTTTTAAAAATAAAAATAAAATTAAGGAAAAGAAAAAGATTTGAAATATTTTTCAAAATAATTTTAATCAAAATTAGAAATTTAGTATGATGAAGGGTAAGATAGTAAATGACTTTTTAATACAAATTTTAATTAAAAAAGTATCATTTTGGAATATTCTTAACAGAATTAATTATTTGAACTTAATTGTATGTTTTCAAAATAGAGATAAAATCTTTATAATTGAGCCAAAATGCAAGAGATGTTAGAATATTTTACTCTAAAAATAAATGGGATAACTTATAAATATGATTAAGAAAAATCTCTTTGTGCCTTGTATAATGAGTGCACCTACACCGCAAGCTTTGTTTCTTCATCAGCTCTCCCTTTGATTTTTGTTGGCCAAGGACCAAAAATAAACTCACTATATAAGTACCATACAAATTGCTCAAATTTTATTGTTGCGGTAATGAGGTTCAGCTTACTATAATACTCACAATATTAATAGCGTCAATTTATCTCAATATATAATAAATTATATCATAACTTGTAGATACAAACCCACATTTTGTTTGGCCAGAAACGTAAATATCAACATAACTATAGTTACATTTTAAAATTTCAACAAATAATACAGTATTCTCACAAGTGTCAAAACACCTTCCCAAATCTTTACCAAAAACACTTATTTGGCGAGCTAATTAATAAAGTTTACTCCTAATTGATATCTAAATATTGATGAAGTTCCACTAAACTGAGATCACCAAGAGAAAAGATGAGAACTCTAGAGAAAAGGCTTAATAGTTGAGAAGAGAAAAGGCTTAATAATTTCTTTGTACATTTATGAAGATGCTTATTTTACAAAATTTTTGAAAGGTTTCATTACAGTTCTCAATGGCCAACAAGAAGTTGATCAACGAGCTCATTCACTAGTTGTTCAAAAATTTCTGACTCTAAATCCTCGCTTATACTTTCACAATCGCCATGTTTCCACACTTGGTTTGATCCTATCACTTCATCTCCAGCTTTTCTGCGGGCTTCTTCCCAAATATCCATATATCTCTGTCTCTGCTTCTCTTTCCTCCTCGATGCTTCGCTTTTGTGTTCATCGTTTTCCTTTGCGATCCTCTGGTCAATCATCAAGTTCGCATCAAAACGCAGAAGAAAGTGTTGGCCGTTTCCAAGCTCTGGTGACAACTTTCTTCTTGGGCTCATCCCTATCCCTGGGGATCTAAGTCTGCAAAGTCAGCTTCGTCAATTCCATGTTGCAAAATTTGAAACCGGAGAAACTTAAATTTAGGAAATGTACCTGATCCAGGAACTTGGCGATCAAAGTCGAGAACAGAAACTGGACTTGTTTCTTCTGAATTGCAATCTGGTTCTGTCTTCTCTACTGTACAATTACAGCTTGGTTTCCTCCTCCTCCTCCTCCTATCTGGCTTTCTATCATGCAGAACGTCCTCGATCATCTCTGCTTCTGAATTGATATACTTCTTTTCAGAAGAATTCTTGACGCTTGACTGTGGTGTGACGTTGGTAACTTCTCGAAGCTTGCCGTCATTTTTCCTCAAAGGTTTTTCATCTCCCACCTTCCTACTCTGTTTCTCCTTGCCACTCATAATGTTCTCAGAGGACAACTTTTCCCGCCTATTTTCCTTCGATTTCGGCCTCTGCTTTAATCGCGCAGAACCCAGTTTGGATTCAAATTGTTGACTTTCGAAGCTGAGCACCAGGAAGTTGTCATCATTTTCAAGGAACGTAAAACCCGGGACCTCCCTAAACGACAACGTAGATTTCACTCTCCGATGAATCCCCTCCAACCGATCGCATTCCCCGAAGCATTGCACAGAGTTCATGGATCGGCTCCGCGAAAGCGAAGCGGCAGATGATTCAGTGGGTAATTCCGCCATGGAATCCAAACCCATCAACCTCGCAACAATCCCAGGAGCAGAAACAGTAGTAGCATTAGTAGAAGTAGGAGTTACAGAACCAGCCAGAGTCTTGTGGTCAGCCTTGAACTGATGAACTTGTTGGGTTTGAAGTACAGAATCATCGTCTCTGATTTGATCGGAGGGGTGGGTGGGCAGGCCACGAGAGCAGAGGATTCTGCGGAGGATGCCGGTGAGACAACCTGCGGTGGCTTTCTTGGAGGTACACATGGTCGAATCAAAGGAGAAAGAGGAGGAGGAGGAAGATGAATAGGAAGAGGAATAAGAAGAAGAGGAGGAGGAGAAAGAGGAAGGGGAAGAGAAGCGAGAGGGAAAGAGGTTCATGTTGAAGTAGAAAGGGAAGAAAGCTGAGAAAGAAAGAGGAAAAAGGAAAAGCGGAATGGAATCTCAAACTTCCATTCAGATTGAGAGAAGGAGAAAGGGAGAAAAGCGAGATTTGAATTTGCCATATCAGAGAGAGAGGAAGAGAAGGATGGCGGGATTTGGATTTGAAAGAGATGAACAGGGAAAAAGGAAACTGAAATGGACCTGGACAGTGCGTAATGCACTGGAAGGACATAGTCTTCAGAGACATGTCTCCACGCGCGCTGACCAGTCATTGTGTGTCCAAGTGTCGTTTTGTGGGCTTCCCAGTTCTGTTCAAACAGGAGCCCGCTCTTGGGGCGCGTGAAGCTTTCTTCCCGGGTCCTCTGTTTTTGAGGGAGGAAAGTAATGATGAGGTGTCCCCAACGATCAGCAATGCCGCATTTTGTACTTTTTAGTATTTTTCTTCGTTTTGGAAAGCCAGATGTTTTATTGCAGTATTTAGGGTCATATTTGAGATTTACTTATAGGATATAATGATGGTCTGATTCTTAATATAAAATCTATTTAATTAATTTAATTTAATTTAAAAATTAAATAAATTAGTTAATTATAAAAAATATGACATGTTTTTTTTAAATATTGTGATTATTTTTTTTAATATTTTTTCTTTTTTTTTTATTTAATTATGGTTGAGGAAGTATCTATAAGGATAATTTAAAAAAAATTGATAAATATGAAAAATATGTCTTATATTTAGAATCAAAATCAACACAACAATTAAATTTTATATTAAAAACAGGAAAAATATATTTTATCAAGAACTTGTTATTAGTTAAGATGGCAGTAGTCTTGTTCTATAAGAAGAGGTGTCACTTAAGGATACTCTTATTTCAACTAAAAAAGCATAATATATTTTGTTAGTTCTAATTAGTGGATAAAATTAATTAATTTCAGGTCTCTTAACAAGTTGTAGCCAATATCAATAACCGCATTAGAGCGCTGTTCAAAAACTAAAAGGATGTGAACCCGCTGCAAATTAATTGGATGCACATCCTTGTGCTGATGCAAAGCTCGCCCTGGCCAAATTGTGGTCGGAGATAGGAGGTTGGTGAGACAGGGAAGGGGGGCAGTGACTGAAGAAAGAGAGGAAAGAGGACAAATGGATGCATGGGGGAGAGTGCCGAAGATTCTGACCTGTGTCTGTAGCTGTGCAGTTTTGTTGTTTGTTTGTGTCGGAGGCAGAGACGAGAATGGGAATAAGATTCATCATTGTTACCATTTCTTTTGTTAACTTTTGTTCTTCCCTCGCTGCCTTTTGCCTTGCTCATCACCCATGACATCCTTATTTATTTTTGTTTATACTGCTCGGTCACTTATTGCTTGCAATCGTTCGCTTTGGGGAGTCTTTCAGGCCGTTTTGATGACTTCAGTCACAGCCCATGCTTCTCTAATTCTATTTTATTTGTAGGGTAAAGGAAAAATATTTTATTTGATCTTAGTTACAAGTCACAGTTCAATTTTTAATATGAATGTAGTACTATTTTACTCTTCATGTAGTAGATTTTTTTGGTTATCTTTTAGGATTTTGGTATGAGGGAAAATGAGAGGCGGAGAGCTAAGGAAAAAATTTAATAAGCCCTGTTTAAAAAATTGAAAAAGTGAGGGTTAAAAGTTTTTAATTAATTTTTATTGTTCTTTTATACTATTTTTCTTTTTATTAAAATTTCAAAATCCAATTTCTTCAATTTTTTAAATAGAGTTCATTAAAATTTTACTTTCTCTCTCCTCCCGTTTATTTCCCTTGTACCAAACAGTAGTTTCATGAAGGATTTGGTTATCCTGTATCTTACTTGATGTTTTATGATATTCTTTGTTCTAATTGCTTCGCTGCTGGTCGATGTTTACTGAAATGGTGGAAATTTAAAATTAATAAACATGTGTAACCATTAATTTGTCACAATCATCATCTCATCCGCTTAATTTTGACAATTTCTGCGCCAACCAGGTAAATGGGCTTTCTACTATTCATTATGGGCTTGGTAAATGGAAAGGTATTGGGCTTCGGAGTCCATAGGATTACAGTTTACTCCTGTCAAATGTCCATTCTTTTGTCGTTGGGTTCTAAACAAAGTGCGGGCTTCTTTGAACGTATTGGGGCAATATCCTCGTACGCAAAAAGTTGTGAAACAAAATATCCATAGGAGTTTATCCAATCGAAGTAATTAAGAATTCCGAATTGAAACAAAGAATATTTATTAAACTACAATAAGATTTATCAAACTATCAGAAAGACTTCGAATTGGGAAAACAACCCAACCAAATTAATTTGATTTTACCTTTCCTTGTTTGTGAAGTAACTCTCATCAACTAGCACTATGTTTATATAGGGACTGGGCAAAAAGGATGCGTAGTGAATTAATATTCAAATTTTTCCTTAAAAAAATACCCGTATTTAATGTCTGAAAATATCTCTAACAGAATTGTCTCCAATAAGATAATGATACTAGCTATGCAATAATATACTATGGAGAAGGAGCATAGGTTATGCTTGGCACAGTGAAAGCTTTTTCTGAGCGAGATGGAGGGATAGAAGGAGGCTCAAATAATAATGTTGGGATGAGTGAAAAAAGAAGAGTGGAATATGGCTTCTCTTGTTTGGTTTGAAACTTTGAAGTGTAAATACAGGGTAAAGGCAGAACAAAAACTACTAAGAGACACAAATTCCCCCCACATGTGATCCAGTTTAAAAGTACGTATGTGTGTGCTCATGAAATTTTTTATAAAAAATGTTTCTATTATATTACTTTTCGGACCATGATTTATGACAGTTAATTTAACGTATAATGCTCACCAATAGGAAGCTATCTAGAGGCTAATATTATAATATAATCTTTTAATTTATAAAATGAGAATAAGATGTTACTACCAACCAACTAATGTAATTAAATGCATAATTCAGAGGGAACATGTGATAAAGATATAAGATCTTTGCAAGTTTTGGGCACAAAGTGTGATCTGATGAAAATGGAATCTGAGACAGTAACAGGAAAGGCCATCAGTCATTGGGCCCATTAATCAGGCCCCCCCTGCAAGAACCCTGTACCAACACTTACTTACATCGTCCTTCAATTATCCATCAACTATTTCTCCTACCCGCCCCACAAATTTAAGGCACTCCATGTGCCTTATCATATTATAAATTTCTATCGGAATATATTTTATAATCAAATTTTACATAAAATTGTTTGCTTTTAAATTATTTTAAATTCCTTTAGGAATATAAAAACGCAGTTGGGCGAAAGTAATTCGAGAGAATTACCATATAAAGTTTCAAACAATAATATATTCGTCAAAACATTCCATAATAACTGAGCAATCTGTAATAATAGTCTCAGTAACAAAAAATGATAACATGTTCTGCTGATTAGTTATTAAGATTTTTTTATAATTATATTTCTTGTAATAATTTTCCTAACTAATATCAGCACTTTGAGTTTAGAATCTACTAACTTTATTTGTCTTTTAAACCTGACCAGTAATTTATGACTTAACGCGCGATGTGCTTTATGGCTAAGCTTGATTCAAAGAAATCTGTTAGTTACGACGTCACCTCAGACCTCACCATATCTGTCTCTTATTTTTCTCGTACGTACCAGTGATTATCATGCTGCATACGGACTGTTCTGTTTGTGACGATTGTGTTATTTTCTTCTGAGATTTTCTTATGCTGATTTTATTTTCTTTTCCTTTTTGAAACAAAAGTCTACTCTTTCGTCAATAAATTCCTTTGACATGGATCAGCGATTGGTCTCTCCATATCTTGATTTCTGTAATGTTTTGCAGTTACATTTATATAGTGCTTTCGGTAGTTCAGAGCTGATTTAAGAAAATATAATTCTGCTTTGAGCAACCACAGTAACTTTTATCACAATAATTGGTATTGCTTTTGGATGTGTTTAAATGTTTTTAGTGATTTTACTCTTATGCTTTGTTGGGTGAGAGGGGAATGAGTTAAAAAAGAGAGAGTTGAGAGTCATTTTTGTCTTAAAAGTATTTATGAAGTAATTATATATATTCGAAGTTTTTTCTTAGTTTAATATTGTCCTAAAAATGTTAAAAAAGAAGCAAAGCTACCCTATGCCATTAAAAAGACACGGGTTCATTTTGAACATTTCTGGCCAATAGTGAAACCCAAAAAAAAAAATATTCAGCAAATTGGAAAATACTTTCATAACAAAAATAATCTAAACCAAACAAAATGAGAGAATAGAGGAAAGAGAGGTATTAGTGCATAAAAATATACTTGAATTAACAAGATAAAACACATAAAAGTTGACTAATTTAAAAATAAACAATAATGCACACATGAAAACGATGCCCTCTTTTCCCCTTTTTAAGGGCAATGTACAGAAAGCATATTTTTATTTTCGAAATATCCACCCTTTTAAAGAAAATAGTTTAAAATAAAACATATGGGTGATATGCCTCCTTTCTTCGCCGCCTTATTAGTCATATTATTATTTCTCTCCTGTCGTTTTCTTTTCCCCCTCTTCTTTAATCAGAAAAAGCCTATGTTGTTTAATACCAAGTCATACTACTTTCTCCTCTTTTGGGCGAAAAAAAATACTACTTTCTTCTCATCGCGTGAGCTTATTTAATATATAGAATATGAGAGATGTGAAGGGAATATATACATATATGTGTGTGTGTGTGTGTATTTTTTGTGATCCGTGCGGAAGCAATATTATTAAAAGAGCAGCAATCAATCAGTGTCATCGTACCTTTGCAACTTGTTAGTAATACCCAACAGAAGATCATGTTGTGTGATACGAGACATTTTAAAGAAAGTAAAAGTGAAATAACAATAATAACAGCAATAAAAAGGATGGGCCCTTCTTTTGGGATGCTGCGCACAAGGACCTCGATTCAATTTGCACTCATTCGAAGCTAGGTGAGTGTTATATTTTAATTTTGAAAAAGCCTCTTGTCTTCGTTCTGGTTGGTGGAATAATTGTGAGAGTTAATATTATGGAGGATTCGTCCTTGCCGGATCATACCCATGTGAGAGCTCTGCGCAAAATTAACAATAACTAATGAAATATCACAACCTAAGCAGAGAACCATATAATTAATTTCCTTCTCGGTACTTCACGACATGCATATCTCTGTCTCTTCCTGCCAATTATAATCGTGCGAATCTCTGAATCTGCCAGTAACACTAACTAGCAACTAACACCACTTTTCTTTTTTTATTTTTCAGAAATTCAGAGGGAACAAACACACGCTAACTCAAGAGAAACACACGAGAAATCAGCAACTAGCTAGTAATAATCTAAACCGACGTTTTCTTTCTGGTCTCAGAATAATAAACTCATTGAGACTTGGTCCTAGAATGCTCGTGAAGGTCGAGATCTGTCTGATAGAAAACGATGTCTCCAGAGTCACTAACGTAGTGGTCTTGTCTTAAACTATCTATCAAATTCTGGATCAGATGAACTGGTACTGGCCCGGATTTCTCAGGTTCCCGATAATACCTCCCCAGAACTGGTCTTGCCGCTTTCGTCTGCACAAAACAGAGCAACTTCGATCGCAACCATAAAAGTAAAACCTAGATTTTGTTCTTAAAGAATCGATGCTTCCTAAAATCGCATGTATGTAAGAGCATAAGGTATAAGAATAACCGGTTACGTACCGCTTCAATCAAGTGGTAATGAGGAATCTGAGGAAAAAGATGATGGATAACGTGGGTTCCTATGTCATGATGGATATTGTTGATCCAACCATAATCACGATCCACTGTTGTTAGTCCACCCCTCAAATAACTCCATTCCTATCACAAAATATCGTACTTAGATTCGGTTTCTGTGGTGTTTAGATTTTAGTTCTCAAATTAAGAACGTGATACGACAAAGGAGAAGCAACATGAAAAGGGAACGAGTTAATGTTATTAATAGGGTACCTTGCCCCTGTACCAAGGTAGTTTCTGCTTGTATCCATGGTGGTGCAAATATGTGACAGCGTCCAACCACATGACGAAGATCTGCCCACGCACGAGATATCAGATTCAGAACCAAGGATTTAAGTCTAGAGTTATTCCTACAAGGTTGATGAAACAGGGGATGAATCATGAATGGGTGAATTTACCGCATAAGGGACACCGTAAAGCTTCAAGACTTGAGTGGGACCCATGGTGAAAATGAGGTAGAGAATCAGAGAAGCCATGGCGAGCCAGCATAAGGTTGAGGTTGTCACATCTTTTCTGTCTCTAGGGGAGAACAATTTGCTGTTGGGATTAAAGTGAGAGCCTTCTTTTCCTGGGCTTCTTCTCCACTGAAATTCCAGTTCAGAAACCAAGCTTTATATCATCAGTGTGGTAGTAATAAATATCTTTCTGATAAGATCTTCAGAACAATAAAGCAAGCCAGCTCTCACCAGATAAATGGGGAAGGCAAGGATTGGGAAGGGGACAGTGAATCTCAGTATTCTTGTCTTGCGGCTTTGACTCTTATAAAGCTTCTCTGTCATCTGCGAAAGTAAAGAAGGCCCATACTAATCATGAACAAGCTATTCAATGATGATGTTTTTTTTTCCCCTTCTTCTTGGAAGTGAACACATACCGGAACCCACGATTCATCATTCTCAACATGTCCGTGGTTTTGATGGTGGGTTTTGTGGCTGATTCTCCTGCCAGAATGATTATTCTCAGATGAGATTAAAAGGACGAAACAAAGTAACAAGAAAAGTTTCCAATTAAGAACCAACCATCCATGGTACGGTACAAGAATCGCAGAATGCAGGATGTGGCCCACAAAATTATTCAGCTTGCGATTGTTTGAAAAGCTTCCATGGCCGCTGCACAATAATGCAACAAAAAAGTTACGGCGCAATACAGAGCACCCCATTGGTAACAAAAAGATGCAGAAACAGAGAGAGAGAGAGAGAGTGGGAGAAGGGAATACCAATCATGGCCGAGAACGAAGAGAGCCCAGAACATGGTACCTTGAAGGGGCCAATAGAGAGGCCAGAAGAACCAGGAATCGAAATGAAGAGCTAAAGCAAGCAAAGAAAGGACAAGAAACACATCCCTGAGAACGTAAGCGAGGGACCTCCACGGGTTCTTAAACCAGCAATGGCTGGGAATCGCGGCTCGAATCTCTGAAATGGTGAAGGGAGGAGGAGCGCTAGGATCGAAGGTGGCGGTGGTGGCTGCATCGTGGTCGCCGATTCGTTTCTTGGCGTGGCCGGAGGGGACGACGACGTCGTGAGACATCTTGAGTTCTGCTTCGGCGGCCATAGTCCCCCTGATTCAGTTTCAGGGATAGGGAGGAGGAAGAAAGGGTTAATAGAGAAGAGGAAGAAGGCAAAGCATGTGTCTCTCTTTGGTCTGTGTTGAAAGAGAGACGTGCAGATTTACTGGACGAAAGGAAAAGCAGGAGAAATCGAAGGCATTTATAGGCACAAGAACGATGGGTTTCTGCTGTTGCTTTCTCTCCCACGCACACACGGGGCCCCGCGTTATTCACTTTCTCTGAATTTATATAATATTATTTTAAAAGGAATTCAACTCCATCACTAAATTAATATCAGTTGCTTTAATTTTTAATTAAATAGTGGCCTAACCTACCCATTATTAACCGACCTGTGACTCTGTTACTAGTAGAGAATATGACTTGGGAGAATTTATGTTTCAACCGTGTCAACATATTCTTAGATTTTGTTCAGACTCTATCGTCAATTTTTTTTTCTTTTTTCCTTTTGATCCTAGGATGCACAGAAAGCTTTGAAAACACTCACAGTTTGGTTCTGTTATATTCGTTTAGGAATAATTAATTAAACTCAAGAGGCATGTATTTAGAGTTCAATGGAGGTTTCTTTTTCCAAACTGAAGTTATTAAAGTTATGCATTTTCAAATATACTTGCATATAGCCTGACAACCCAAAAAAAAAATTGACATGCATTTTCATTGACTAATGATGGTAGGATTGTAGGAGGGGATTTAGCTTAGTGTCCTATAAATAAGGTCTTAACTTTTGATTATTATTTAATCATACTAGATATTGGATGGTATGTAAAAACACAATTTTTTTCATCAAAATATCTTGTACAAAGATATATAGAAAGTTATTTTATGCATTTAGTTAATCGGCCACGCACTAATTTGACTATAATTGATACGGTAACCAATGATATAAAGAACTTTTACAGCGGGCAAATATTTTTAATTATAACAAGTATTTGGAAATTATGTGGCGGGCTAATATGATATAGTCAACATTGATATTTGTGGAGGTTAAGAATGCTTGTTATCACAAATCTTCTCACAAACAATATACTACTTTCAATCCTTAATATAAAACATGTTAAAAAACTAGTTGAATTAGTTATTTATACTCTTCCAGTCCTAAATATAAAGGTCTTATATTTAGAACCGGAGGAGTAATAAGTATGTGTTGTTTTTTTTAAAATATCATTGTCAATCATGTGTATTGGCTAAAACTACTATTATTACAAGGATTATCCTGGAAAAAAAAAAGAATAGATATGAGAAACAAAGTGGATTAGAATATTATATTTATAACTAAAATAAAAGTCAAACGAGCTCTTTTATTAAGAACTATAGGTAATATATTGGTTTTAAGGATAATTTCGTGGAGTGTACGTAGGTTCAGCTTGAACATAATTTTTGGAAGATAAGTTCAGACCATACGTATGGAACTGATCTCAAAATGGAATTTGATGAGCTTACAATCTCACGGTACCATACATATGCAAGTCCCACCCCAACAAGCTCAAAGATATTTGGGGAAAACTAATTTGACTGTCCTTCTAGTTATCTCGTGTTTTGAATCAGGTCTCCCATTTATTTTCTCTTGTATCAGATCCTTCAAATTTGTTCTGTCAAATGCATTAATCCTTAACGTTAAAAACTGTTTAATCAGAGCTAACAACCTTAAAGAATCTGTCAGCCTATAGATGTGAAAATTAAAGTTATCTGCAAAATAATTTTTTCTCATACTCTCTCTCCCCCCTCCTTTTACTGTCTCTCTCTCAAACGTTCTCTTCCTTCGCAAGGCTTTAACTCTTCGATCTTGACTATGCTCTTTTAAATTGGAACCTTCAAACATTCACTCCAGCAACGTCACTTTAATTTTCTCAACCTCACCAACCAATTTCGGCCAAGAATAGACCACACTGTTCCAAATCGGCTCATCCTCCTTCATCCTCTTATCCTACGAACCACACACCTCCTTCCCCATTGTCAAATCCATGCCTCTCGGGGACCTTTCTTACGATCACTTTTGAAGCTTTGTATACGTGTCCTTCAATGCTGGTCTCACTCTCTTTGCTCCGACCAATACTACTCGTGTGAATTCGTCGGTCAATATTGGAAATAAGGGAGAATTGAATTTGTTGTGATTGCTTAAATGAAAGGCTTATGTTTTGGTGGTGATGTTGGCGGATAACTTGATGCTATCCTCTTGCCCCAACTCACTCACCTTTTTTTTTTTTTGACTCAGGCCTCACTCAAGTTGGTCCTTTTGAATTCACTTCAAACCTAGAATATTAAATACTACTTTCGGTCCTAATTATAAGAACTAGTTGACTAATTTGAAGAAATTAAAAAAATAAGTTAAGTTAGTTATTTCTAGTAAATATGTATTGTTTTTCATAACATATCCTTACTAATCAAGTGTGTTGGCTAAAACTATCATTATTAAAAGGACTATCTTTAAAAAAATGCATAAATATTAAAAACAAAGTCGATTGAGATCTTATATTTTGGATTAAAATAAAAATTAAACAAGATCTTATATTAAGAACCAAAGGTAATATATTACTAAGAAGCTTTGTGATACCATAAAAGGAGATGAATGTGAGAGAAGGTAGGCGCCAAAGGATGGTGAGGAAGGGTTCTGAAGCTTGGTCTCTTAGGGTCTGTTTGGTTTGAGGGGAGGGAAGGGTAAGGGAGGGGAGGGGAGGTTTCATCTTCACTTTGTTTGGTTTGATTAAAAAGGAGGGGAGGGGAGGTTATTTAATGATCCCTTGTTTGGTTCAAGGAGGGGAGGGGAGGGATAGTAATAATCAATTTACCATTTTACCCTTACATATTAGTTTGTGTTTTTTATTAATATATTATATAAATTAATTTACATCTTAATTTAAATCATATAATTTAATAAAAATTCAGTCTTATCATGTTAATATGTGTATTAAAAAATTGGTACAGTAATTTTTATTCTAATTAATATAATAATATATTTAAAATAATCAAATTAATAAATTTTATATGCTCTAAGAAAAATGAAATTTTATTCTCTTTAGGCTATCTTTTTTTCCAGCTTTAAAATATATTTAATAAATAATATATTTATAAAAACAATTAATTTTATAATATTATAATTTTTTATTTTTAAATAATGTTTTATAATATATTTTTTATTTGAAATAAATATTATAATAATATATTTTATGGGTAGAAGTGGAATATTGAAAAAACTATAAGGGCATGATGGTCTAAAAATTTGGCTCCCCTCCAAAAACCCCCAATTTGGAGGGGAGCCAAAATGGGGAAAGGGAGGGGAGGAGAGGGGAGGGGACATTTTAGCTCCCCTCCCCTTCAAAATTTTTAACCAAATGAGGGGAGGGACTCATTTTCCCTCCCCTCCCCTCCCCTCCAACCAAACACACCCTTAAAGGAATCAAGGGGGAGAGAGAGAGAGAGAGAGGATAAAGGGAGGAGAGAGAAAGAGAATGAGAAGAAACTAATTTCAGACTCACTTTAATTTTTACATGCGATGCCTAGTTAGATAGTGTAACGGATTTTTTTTAATGTTGTTACCTCTTATTAAACAGTTTTTAATGTCAAGGACTAACGCATTTGACTGAACAAATTTGAAGAATCTAATAAAAAAGAAAACAAATGTAGAGACCTAATTCAAAACTCAAGATAACTATAAGGACTGCCTAATTAGTTATCCCAAAATATTTGTGGCTAAGTCCATTTTACTAATTAGTATTTCTTTTCGGACATATAATTTAAGTAAAATCATATTGATTTAATTTATAGTAATAATTTTGAATCACACTTCACTTAAAATAGACAAGTAGCGTTCGAATATGATGATTTATAAATAATACAACTTATTTTATATTTCACATAATAATACGGAGACAATCATTTTTATAAGTTTATTTATGATACATACATTTGTTTGTATTACAATATTATGTAAATGATAAGAGTCTAATTATGGACTTCCTTGGTATATATAAAGCGAGAATGAGAAAAGGGGGTTGGATAGGAAGGTTCCCTCCCATAAAAATATACCTTTCTTACCCCTCATCCCTGTGTTTCTTTTTTTCAAATGAAGTATGAAACGCACCATTCTTTTTGGGCAGAAAGTATAAAAAGCACCAAAAATGGTAGTGGAACAAAAAGTGGCAGTGGTTTTACACGATAATATTGGATGAACTGGATTTGGGTAAGGTTTGGAGGTGGTTAATTATTGGGGCGCAATTAATATTCCGAGACGATTTTAAATAAGGAAGCAAAAGTAGTTTTGTGAGACAGAATATGTTATCGTCTTTTTATCTCATATCTGCAGATCTGCTGCCTCCCCTGCAATTTGCAACGCTAATTAATGTCCCTTCGTCCACTGCGTTCCCACTCTTTTACTGATCCCGATGCCCACTGTTTTTCTTCACTTTTTTTTTTTAACAAAGAATTCCTTTTATACCTGAAATCTTTTTTTTTCCTTTTTGTGTTACACGAACTTTCAAACAGGTTCTAGTTATTTTTGGAAAAAATAATTAGAACCTGTTTGAAATGGTTTGAGCATATATAGAGAAAGTCAGGAATTAATGCAGATGATAAATTAGAAAGTAATTCCTCAATGAGATCATTAAATACAGTTTTTTAACTAGCAACTTATCTAAAGATTTTGTTATTAACAGACACAATGCAACATCGTCCATGTAACTGAGGTGGCATAAGGCTTGCAGTTATTATTATTATCATTGAATTGTACGTTTTTGAATATTGCCATGAGAGTAGGTTATTTAATACTCCCTCCGTTCCTTATTATAAGAAACAAATAACCGAAGTACGTTGATCAAAAAAACAGTTAAAATTAGTTAAGAACAATTAATGTGTAAAAAGTATAATTTTTTTTCAAAAATGCCCTCATTAATAAGGAGAGAGAGCATGAGAGATAACAATTAAATTATTAAAAGAAAGAGAAGTGGGAGGGAGAGAGAGTGTGAATTGGAGATAATAAATATAGGTAAAATAGTAAATCAACACAAAAAAGTAGAGACAACTTGTAAGTGTCTCTTATATATAGGAACATGCTATAAGTATCAAATGTCTCTTA